TTCTCAGTATTATACTATATAATATAGTTATCTTCTACCTCCAATGCTGGAGATCAAGTAAATAGTACCTACAAAAAGCAGAACCCTATGCTTCTGAAATACTATAACAAGACATTTTACAGTAAACCACAGGAAAAAAAGAATTAGAAGCCTCAGTCCCTTATACAAGGGTTTTGATCTTTGCTTTAACTCTTTAATTTGGAAAACATTCAGACCTTTCATCATCCTGGAACACCTTATGATTATACTAAACTACACAATAATTTCCAACTGTACCATATAGCGCAGGCGACATTTTATGTATTCATTTTTTCACTCCACATGGCTCACAACTTTGTAGGGGTGAGTGAAACTACAGAAGGCTAATATATGCCAAAATTACGCTTAATACAGGTAGTGACATATTTAAGAAATGCTGTGGAAAATCCATGTAGTAAGGACAGCTAATAATCAGCACACCCTTACTTTTGGTCAGCCATTTTTTTAAGCACTTTATATGTATTGTCATCGTTGTTGTTGGTTGTCGTTGAGTTGATTCCAACTTACGTTGACCCCATGTGTGCAAAATAGAACTGCTCCACAGAGTTTTCAAGGCTGTGATATTTCAGAAGCAGATGGCCAGGACTGTCTTCTGAGCAGCCTCTGATTTGGTTTGAACCACAATCTTTATGTTAGTAGTCGAGGGCTATATATTATAATAATTATATATACGTTGTTGTTGTTGTTAGGTGCCATCGAGTTGGTTCCGGCTCGTAGCGACCCTATGTACAGCAGAAAGAAAGACTGCCCGGTCTTGTGCCGTCCTCACAATTGTTATTATATCTGAGCCCACTGTTGCAGCCACTGTGTCAATCCATTTCATTTAGGGTCTTTCTCTTTTTTGCTGACATTCTAAATTGTTGGTGGTGGTTGCCATTGAGTCAATGCCAACTCATGTGGACCCCATGTGTGCAAAATAGAACTGCTCCACAGAGTTTTCAAGACTGTGATCTTTCAGAAGTAGATAGCCAGGCCTGTCTTCTGAGGAGCCTCTGATTTGGTTCCAAACCATAATCTTTATGCTAGTAGTCGAGAGCTATATATAATAATAATAATAGTTATTATATACGTATATATATATTTGTTGTTGTTAGATGTTGTCGAGTTGGTTCCGACTCATAGCAACCCTATGTACAGCCTATGTGTGCTGTTGAGTCATTTCCAGCAGAGTAGAACTGCCCCATAGGGTTTCCAAGGAGTGGCTGGTGGATTCGAACCACTGACCTTTTGGTTAGCAGCCTGAGCTCTTAACCACTTGCCACCAGGGCTCCTCTATATTATGTACATATATTATGTATACATATATATGGGCAAGCCTGGTGAAGCAGTGGTTGAAGCTATCAACTGCTAATGGAAAGGTTGGCTGTTTGAAACCACCAGCAGTTCCACGGAAGAAAGATGTGGCAATCTGCTTCCATGGAGATTTATAGCCTTGGAAACCCTATGAAGTTGCTATGAGTCAGAATCGACTCTACGGCAGTGGGTTTATATATATATATATGTAATCCTCCATTCAAATATAGGGAAATAGGGGATTAAGGGTTGTACAACTTGTCAAAGGCTACAGAGCTAGTAAATTGAGGAGGTAAAGTTGGTCCCAGTTCTATGTCACAGTAAAGCTCTTGTTTGTCACCACTTTTCCCAGTGCATTTGGGCATTAGTTTTGACTTCAAACTAAATGACTTGAAAGAATTATGAAACCAAGACCTCTTGTAGCTCTGCATCATGTCTAAACTCACCTCCCAGCATGGGAAGGCAGAGCTCTCAGGTGTCTTTCCAAGGCACCAGGGTAAGATATTCCTAATGCCCTTCAGACATTGCTGAGCAAAGTTAGCCAACAGCACCTTTTCCTCCTCTCAGAAAGAGGACACTAGAGACATTTACATAGAACCTTGACAGTCATTGGGGATGTTGTAGGTGAAAAATTATTTGTACGGTAGAGTTGGACAGATTTACCCTTCATCTCTTGGGATCCTATGGTCCTAAATAAGAAGATAAAGAATAGACTATAAAGGAAATGCTTAATGAACTGGATTTGTAATTCATTTTAATTAAATACTTAATGAGGCTATTATACTCTCATCTCATTATCTATTCAAAAGGAGATTGATGGCTTTGTTAAACTCTTTGCGTTCTAAGGATTAGGGATGACTTATAAATATGCTATGTTGGTTTTTAAATATTAATTCTGATTGCTATATGATACAAATAGAACGGTTGTGTCTATTTTTGGATATTTAAAAAAAGTCTGAATCCTATGTATGCCATCATATGAGATTTGTCTGGAGGTGAGTGGTTACTCTTCCTGGTGATTTGCCTATCTTAAATGATCCATGGCCAAGGATTGTTCAGTAGTACCTAAGACAGGAAGGGCTGCAGAGTTATCCAAGAAGCATATTTGGCAGCTTTTGAAAGCCATGTATGGAAAGAAGCTACATGTGTCCAGGAGTTCTTATATCACTGTCTCATTTTCAAATCTTGTACATCCTCAAGAGACTTTTTGAAAGTCAAAAGCACGATATGCTAACCAGGGAAAACCCCAGAGAAAGCCAAGATCTGAAAATAACATCTGGCTTTCTAGAAAACGGCAGCCCTGCTGACTTGGCAGCCTTGGAATATTGTGGTGCTCTCCGAAAGGCAATCAAGTCCTAGGATGAGAGCCGCAAGGAAACAAAAGGCAAGGAAACGAAAGGCGGAAGTGATAAGTGTAAAACAAGCCATCGCAAAAGGTAAAGAGAGAGTGAATAGAATGAGATTTAAGGAAATGAAGAAGCATATAATTATTTGGTTAATCAGAAATTAAATATAGCTTTGGATATACTTTTTACATTCAAATTTTGAGGAACGTATTTCAAAATTTTCTGGAGTTTGTTGAGAACCTTCATTGGAAATACTTCTCTGATGTTTAGCCTTTGTGCGAAAATAAAATACATACATGTAATTTGAAATGCTTTAGAATGACATAGCACAGGTTTATATTTGAATATAAGCCATACATGTGAGAATATTCTGAGTTCCTTGGCCAAAAAGGTACGATGAAAGATGCTTTTCCTATGAATATAATACAAACTTATTATATTATAAAGCTCAGCTGGGAAGAGAAATTTACCTATCAGAAATATTTTGGTTTATTTTGATGAAGTGGTCATGTAAGTCTGTCACTTCTCTTGACCTTGTTTCTATATTTTTGACATTTAAGTGTAGAAGAAAAATGGAACCAGAAAAATAAATGCAATTTATTATATCACCAAACTTTAGATGACTATGAAGTCTTGTATCAAATATTTCTTAATGATTATAGTGTACATTCTTTTCTTCCAATGGCTTAAAAGTCATGACTGCTTTATAAATGTCCTATACATAGTGATGTTGCTGTTGTTTGGTACCGTCCAGTTGATTCGGACTCAGAGCAACCCTCTGTGCATCAGAACGAAATACTGCCTGGTATGCACTATATCAGACAGTGTTCCGCTGCTATTCATAAGGTTTTCACTGGCTGATTTCTTCAGAAGTTGACTGCCAGGTCCTTCTTCCTAGTCTGTCTTAGTCTGGAAGCTCAGCTGAAACCTGTCCATCACGGGTGACCCTGCTGGTATTTGAAATACCAGTGGCATATCTTCCAGCATCACAGCAACACACAAGCCGCCAGATGACAAACTGACTGATAGCAGAGGTATATATAGTGGAGGTACCTTTCTATATGGTTAAAAATTGTTGTTGTTAGGTGCTGTGGAATTGGTTCCAACTCATAGCGGCCCTATACACAACAGAACTGAAACACTGCCTAGTCCTGTGCCATCTTGACAACGATTGCTATATCTGAGCCTGTCTTAGTCTTCTAGTGCTGCTCTAACAGAAATACCACGAGTGGATGGCTTTAACAAAGAGAAGTTTATTCTCTCACAGTCCAGTAGGTTACAAGTCCAAATTCAGGGCGTTGGCTCCAAGGGAATGCTTTCTCTGTTGGCTCTGGAGGAAGGTCTGTGTCATCAATCTTCCCTTGGTCTGGAAGGCCCTTGTGATGCGTCAGTCTTCCCTTCATCTGGGAGCATCTCAGCACAGGAACCTCAGGTCCAAAGGACACGCTTTGCTCCCAGCACTGCTTTCTTGGTGGTATGAGGTTCCCATATGTCTCTACTTGCTTCTCTCTTTTATATTTCAAAAGAGATTGGATTAAGACATTATGCAATCTTGTAAACCTCATCAGTATAACCTCATCACAGTGATAGAATTTACAACACATAAGGAGATCACATATAACCTCATCATAGTGATAGAGTTTACAACACTTAAGGAAATCACATCAGATTACACAATCATACAATACTGGGAATCATGACGCAGCCAAGCTGACAGATATTTTTGGGGGACACAATTCAGTCCACGACAGAGCCCATTGTTGCAGCAACTGAGTCAACCCATCTTATCTAGGGTCTTTCTCTTTTTCGCTGACCCTCTACCTTACCATGCATGATATCCTTCTCCGGGGATTGGTCCCTCCTGATAACATAACCAAAGTACTTGGTGACAAAGTCTCTCCACCCTTGCTTCCAAGGAGCACTTTGGCTGTACTTCTTCCAAGACAGACTTGTTCGTTTTTCTGGCAGTCCATGGTATATTCGATATTCTTCACCATCACCATAATTCAAAGGCATTAATTCTTCAGTCTTCCTTATTCATTGTCCAGCTTTTGCATGCATATGAGGCAATTTAAAATATCTTGGCTTGGGTCAGGCGTACCTTAGTCTTCAAAGTGACATCTTTGCTTTTCAACACTTTAAAGAGGTCTTTTGCAGCAGATTTGTCCAATGCATATAGCTTTAAGGGTTAAAAGTAGAAAAGCTAATTATCCAAAGCTATTCATTGTCAGATATTCTGAATAGGTAGTATATTTCATTTTGAAAAAACAAAATCCAAAAAACACCCTAATGATTATTTTCTTTTTCTCTTTTTAATTATAGCAGAAAATGGCCCTCGTCTACTCGTGGAAGCAGAACAAGCCAAGGTGTTCTCACGCAGAGGTGGCAATGTTACACTGCCATGTAAATTTTATCGAGACCCTACAGCATTTGGCTCAGGAATCCACAAAATCCGAATTAAGTGGACCAAGCTAACTTCAGATTACCTCAAGGAAGTGGATGTGTTTGTTTCCATGGGATACCATAAGAAAACCTATGAAGGCTATCAGGGTAGAGTGTTTTTGAAGGGAGGCAGTGAAAACGATGCTTCTCTGGTAATCACAGACCTCACCCTGGAGGATTATGGGAGATATAAGTGTGAGGTGATTGAAGGATTAGAAGATGATTCTTCTGTGGTAACATTAGAGTTACAAGGTAGGTGTCTATAAATCATGTTAAACTTAGAAATGATAATTAACCATTACTCATATTTTTTTCATGAGGAGTAATGCCTAGTGGTTACCATGGTGATGAGGTGAGAAACCAAAAGCCCATGAATAGCATGCTTTTCTATTCTTTTGTACTTTGCAGTCTGCCCATGATTCCAGCTTTCATATTTGAAATGTACACACAATGGTTATGTGCAAAACTGAAGCTATTTTCAAATAGCAGAAACGTGCAGCAGAACTGAATTAACAGTGTTCAGAAACTACTTTATGTTATTCAACATTTAAATCCCATTTACATGAGTATTGAGAAATTCAGATTGGATGCTTTTTTGTTATGCTTCTAAAATTATCTCAGTTTCAAAATAATGGCAAGTTTTTTTAAAGGACATCTGCTAACTAACATACATAATTTTATTCAGTAAAGTGATTGTGAAAACTTAATTTAACAAAAAAGTTAAACATTTTTTGTAAAGAAGCAATTTTAAAAAATGGTTCAGAGTGACTTAGACACTGAATACCAGATGGTCAATGGGGGGGATTTTAGTTCTTACATATATAAGATGTTCACTAGGTTCAAAAACCAAAATGTGTACAAAGCTATTCAGTAAAAAGGGTCCTCCCCATCCTTGCCTCCCCTCTGCCCAATCCCCACCCTCTGTGCCCCACCAGAGAGGAAATGCCTCTCCTTAGTTTCTCCTGTATCTCAAGTCATCTTATTTTCATTAATTTCAGCATTACTTTTCACTGATATATGAATTTGTGCTGCGTTGATAGAATGCTTTCCTTACTTGTACATAAAATTTTAGATATGTGCTTGCTAGAAGCTCCTTTCATATTCTGGACAGATGTGGCTTTTTGAAAAATATTGGTTTGGTTGACTAGCACATCACTGAAAATTTGGCCTCCTGAACCCCATAGAATCCTGTTGCATGTGTGGAGATTTGCTTTATGTATCTAACGAATTGCACGATATTATAAATTGCATTGTCGTGACCTTCCCCTGTCTCTCTTATTTATAGTTCTTGGCTCCTGAGTGCATGCCACCAAGTGATCTCAGTTTTTATTGATTCACATTAATATCCATGAATACCGGTATTATACAGGATGGAGAAGTAGTTGGCTTAGAGAAAGCAGCCAATCATCAAATATTTGAGAGAAGATTTCCTTTACCAAAGGGGCATAGGGCAATGGGCAGACCTTTGAATTCTTAGTGTCCGGAGGCTTAGATTAGTCCCAGCTCTGCCAGTATAAGTTTTGTAACTTGGGCAAGTTACTTATCCTCGTTGTACCTTAGTTTTCCCATCTATTAAATAAGAGGTTGAATTATATTATCTAAATTACTTTTTCTTCTAAAATTATGCTTATATATCACAGTATTGCATAAAATGAAGTAATTCACATGCCATATTTACTGTTTCCCTATATTTGTTTTTAAATGAAATTTTAAATAAATAGAAACTAGTATATCTTGCCAGAAATAGAAGGAAACCATAAAATAAATACAATGGAAATAAGACATTCCTAAATTCTAGCTGGGTACTACTGTTTGCTGATTGCTTTGAGCATGCAGCCTGCTCTCCCTTTGCTTGAAAAAGAAATTTAGTATGTGTTAGAGAGGATAAGTCACTCATAGGTCAAACAAATTTCCTCCAAGAACACAATTTGAGGAGGTGAAGGGGAACCGTGAAGTAACTTTTCCTGCCTAGGCCCTGCACAATCCCAAACTACCACTTATCCCATACTTTGGAAACACTTTCCTACCGTATAACACATATGCATCCGAGCCATATATGGTCAAAGAAATCAATTTAATTGATGAATATTTTGACAAGTTCTATTTTAAGTGCCATGAGATGCAAAAAAACTCTTTTAAGTCTTTGTTCTTTTCATTCAACAATCTTAACCAATAACCAGTTGTTGTCAAGTGGATTCCAACTCATGGAGACCTCATATGTGTCAGAGTAGAACTGTTCTCCCTAGGGCTTTCGATGGCTGATTCTTCGGAATTATATCACCAGACCTTTCTTCTGACGTACCTCTGGTTGGACTCGAAACTCCAACCTTTCAGTTAGCACCTAAACCCATTAACTGTTTGCGCCATCCAAGGAATCCTCAACAATCTTATAGTCCATTAAAGATTCTAAGACACTTTAACAAAATAAGGCAGAATTCAGTAAAATACATGGTTACAAACAAACTGCTATGATCATGTACACTATTTATTTTGCTCATTTTCAGTAATGAGGCTTAGGGAAAGCATCTTTTCTAAGGTAACATGTCTAGGAAGAGGTGGAGCTAGGATGTCAGACCAACGGCATCTGATGAAGCCTATGCTCTTATTTATCCACTATGATCTGGGGGCTCACAGGAAGGAGAAATGCTCTGTTGTGGGGAAGAAGACAGGCTTCGGGAAAGCAGCAGCATTTGGCAGTTCCAGGCTTCAGAAGATTTCTTCAAGTCTTCAAAGTTTATTTGGGAAATGACCTAGGGACTGTCCTTTAGTTTTACCGCGTTAATCAGCATGCCCATGGTGGCTGTTAAATTCCCCTCACTGCAGATGGTGCTTTTTCCATCTGTCTTGTACACTGTAGAGGGTAGACACGGTCATTGAACAGAGGACCTACTTTAAAATAACTGACATTTGAACTAAGAGATTTACACACATGAATCCATTTCTGAACAACTCAAGAAAATATACTCCTTCAAGAATAAGATCAAAGGTCAACCCTACCCTGTGCCCTCCTCCTCCACCCCCAGCTATGATGTTCCCATAGCACCTCATACAGACTCCCATTATTACTCTAACCACATTGTTTTGTAAGTATTTGCAAACTTGTCTGTCTCCACCTGCTAAATATGATCTACCTGGAGGTAGTCAAGTGCCCTGAACAAAGTCAGAGCTCAATAAATACTTTACAAATGAATGAATTTTTTTATTACATGCATTTTATGGAGCTATCAAAACTCATTTTAATTTTTGTATCTACTAGGGTTTAACAACTCTTCATATATCTAGCAAATTGATATTTTCTGACTACTAGGATGAAATGGGCTGTGCAATTATGAATCTTAAAGAATGTGTTTTGAAAACAAATTTCAACTGACTAATAAGCTCAAGCTAGGATACTACTCTTTTCTATGTGATGCATAATATGTAATTATGCATACTAGCCCTTCACGGAAACATGAAGAGCTTTGGGTTATATTTTGACATATAAGTATAATGGAGAAATTAGTCATAAATTACTTAGAAAATAATCATACTCCCTTCTTTCCCACCCATAAAAGTTTGGCTTTTCTTACTTTTGTAATGCTGGATGAAAAAAACCACTTGCTCCATAAGTCAGCTGTTGGAATTGCAAGCTTTTCCACAGAGCCAAGAGGGTTTCTGCAATTACAGTCTTAGATGTTGAAATCTTAACTAGCTGGAAGTAAAATAAATAAATAAAATACTGACAAACATGTAGTTCCAGGAATGAGCCTGGTTTTAAGAAACATTTGATTGTTGAAATGTGTGCACCAAATGTGTAGAACACACGGAAACTTTTGAAACTTTGACTAAGTAAGGTATAGATGTCAACCTTGAGTTACTTCGAATGTGTTCTTTCCAGCATCATCAAACACTAATTAAAATTTATTGAGTAAATATTTAATGATCAGTTGACAATTTGTTCTTATGATTTAAAAATACTAAATTTCTAAAATAGAAAATGATTGTATGAAATGATATTAAACTTGAAAGGAATGCAAACAAAAATTTATTGTATTGATGATTTGGAACTAGATTAGTCATATTTCAGAAACATTCAATGGTTACTCAAAGACAAATTACTAAAGAAAAGATTTTTCCTAATCTCCATGAAAATCCATAAAATACACAAAATTTCAGGTGAATTTAAACCTGATTTTCCAGGTCTTAAAAATTATTAAAAGTTATAATACCCTACAGTCTCTACTGTTACCATTCTTGAGCCATTTAGGAAATGGAAGTCAAACCTAAATGGTGTCTAACTTTCTCTCTCCAGATTGAGATATTTTGAGATTTTCTCTCATTTGAGGTCTAGCTGCCTACGAAATCCTTACTGGATAAATTAAATACTTTCCTTTTTATCGGCATGCCTGGGTTTGCTGAGGAAGGAGGAAAAAGGTACAAGGACAGAAGTGTTAGAGTAACGCCATCCCAATGCTAACTGCGTTCTTAGCTGGGTGCCTGGACATAGTCCTTCCCACACAGAATCATCTCCAAGCTTTCCCTGTGCTTCACCACTGCAGGGGTCAGCGGCAACCAAGAGAGTCTTTTCTTTCTTCTTCTTTGTTTTTTTTTTTTTTTTTTTGGCTCTGATCCAGCTTATAGATCCCTCAGCCAAGAACCTGAGAAGGCAGGATGAGATCAGGAAGCCTTCCTGGATCTCTGCCTGCAGTGGAGGGTGCCAGCTGGACAGCCCTGGAAAGACAAACGTGTCCTACAGAGGCCTTTAGTAGACGAGACTTGATTTAAGACTATTGAAATTTCTACTTCTAGAGTCTTCCAAGACAACTTATAAAAGAAAACATTTCCCTGTGTACTGGTTACGGTATAAGTAAACTGTATGTTCACTTTGAGCAGGATCTGCAGTCTCATAAAATAGCACATGTGATACAAGCCACCGAATTACCGTATCGGTGAAACAGTTTTTAGCATTCCACATGCTAAAAATACTAATTATTTCTAATTATATTCAAGAAATTCAAGGCAAGGCCTTGAATAATCACTCTAAATTAATCATCTTTCAGCAACTATGAGGGAGGCAACCAGCAAATGATACAACTTTGCTTTCCTATCAGGTAATTTAAAGAAATTAGGCAGATTTCTGTGCAACAACTCATGATTATTTGACCAATAGGATCAAATGTTGAATACAATTGTAACTTAGATGCTGGCTGTAGATTTGAAAAACACCCATATAGAAGAAATTGTAGGTCTTCTACTTGGGATGAAAGTTACAGGCTTTACTCAAACTGGTTATCATGTCACAAGACAATAAGTCAGCAAACCACAAGCGAAAACACTGCATTGCAGAGCAATCTATTAGTTAAGAAACAAAAACATTTTAAGTGCTTTTTGAAAACCATTGCATCTTCCCAAACAAAGCCAAGTACAATGTCACTCTGTTTACCTTTGATAAGGATTTTTTTCCTATGAAAATATTTAACTAAAATCTTCCACAATTAACTTAATCAATGAAGAGCTGTTGCTATTTGTAATAAAAACATTTTTAAAAGTTCAGTTTCAGTTTGCAATATATGAATATGGAAGCTGAGAAATAGTAATGGAAATATTTTTTTGATAGAAGTCCTTATTCCTGTTGTGCTATTCAAGGGTAGGAAAAAAAATTAGGGGATACACTGGAAATTGAAGTAGATACAAGAGCCAGAATGCTTTTTATGGAGATGTGCTTCATTCGAAGAGAATTCAGTCTTATTAATATGAAATAAGACTGCTTAATTAGGTTTTTGTTAGATATGCAAAATAATTCACTTTAGAGTTTCTTCAAATAAGAAACTCCCTAAGTGAAAATGACTTATCTGCAAGTCTTTAGGAAAGCATATGTTGTTGTTAGGTGCCACTGAGTTGGTTCCAATTCATATCTGCCCTATGTACAATGAAACACTGCCTGGTCCTGCGCCATGCTCACAACTTTTGTGCTTGAGCCCATTGTTGCAGCCACTGTGTCAATCCATCTTGTCGAGGGTCTTCCTCTTTTTCGCTGACCCTCTACTTTGCCAAGCATGATGTCCTTCTCCAGGGACTGATCCCTCCTGATAACATGTCCAAAGTAATACAAGAAGGGGTATGTACCTACCTTTGAACACATTGTTAACATGTGTCTTTATACACTTAAAATGCTATATAATACTAATTACTTAATTAGATAAGAATAATTACAAAGAAAGACGTTGTGAATTTTGATATCTTCTCTCCAAGCTCTATTTCTACATCCCCTGTCACTCTTAGTACTCAATATCGACTTTTTCCTAGGTGAAAAGTGCTCAGGAATAATCTGTTAGTAACCGGGGTTAGTCACCAGTTAGCAAAAGGTAAGTTCTCAGGGAGGGCAATTTGGAAACTGTAATTGGCAGACAAGTCATTATCAGAAAGGAGAATTTTAAGGCTTGAGTTGAACTGCTGAAAAAGAGGTAAATCGCTGAAGTTATCAAACCAAAGAGCTAACTGTGAGATACTCGGAGGTGAGAGGCTGTTCGAAGCGGAAGGGCACCATGAGAAACCACTGCAAGTTAACCAGAAACTGCTACTTCAATCGATGGATAGTCTGTTTTATATATATATACATGTATACATTTTTTTTTTCATTAGCCAAGTGGGATTTGCTGGTGGTTGTTTCTTTTTTGTGCCTCTCACGACCTCGGATTTCCCTTTGGACAGGTGTGGTGTTCCCTTACTTTCCTCGACTGGGGCGCTACAATCTCAATTTTCATGAGGCGCAGCAGGCTTGTCTGGACCAGGATGCTGTGATCGCCTCTTTCGACCAGCTGTACGACGCGTGGCGAGGCGGGCTGGATTGGTGCAATGCCGGCTGGCTCAGCGATGGGTCTGTGCAGTACCCCATCACAAAGCCCAGAGAACCCTGCGGAGGCCAGAACACCGTACCCGGCGTCAGGAACTACGGGTTTTGGGATAAAGATAAAAGCAGATATGATGTTTTCTGTTTTACATCCAACTTCAATGGTAAGGTTAACTTCATTGCCTTCTTTCTTGTCTCAGAGACTAATATGCATTAGGACACTATGCTTGGCTTTTAATCTTATTTATTTATTTACTAAAAGAACTTAATAACTTTAAAGTATTGTTCCACTTTGAAAAAGCAGCTGTAAAAAGTTCTTTAATGAAATACAAAATATAAATATCTACATAATTCAAGCAAAAATGCACATTTTATTACGTCTAGATTTTATTGCATCCCATCTTTTTATGAAATAGCTTAAGCCGTCACTTTGTGTGTCTTTTTGCCAAAAATGATGTTGCCACTATGGGTCCTCCACGGGAATATGGATTTCTCAATTGAAGGAAGGGCAGTTTCCATATCACCTGCATTCTCCTTATCTAAATTACAATGTCAAAATTATTCACTGATGCTGGCAAAGCTCGGGATAAAGAGGGAAGCTAGCAGTAAAAATAAAGTAGAAATAATATTGAGGTAATTGTGCTTAAGGAAGAAAGGGCAGTCTGTAATTTACTAAGAAGTAAAACCAGAAGTAAAAAGATCCAGGTTGGATCAGTATTGACAACTGATTTGTCCCAACCCTTATCTTGCCTCAGTCAGAAGCAGCTGCATAATCTGTGGGTCTCAGAGCAACATGCAAATGTGGACCCTTTGTTAAGATGGTGACAGCAGAGCAGTAAACCAAGCACAGGGCCCTTTTAAGCATGGAGCCCTGTGCAACTACACAGATTGCTCTTCCATGTATTTTATTTCTTAGGTGAAGACATGCTTTGGGGAAAATAAACCTGTTGCTGTGGAGTCAATTCCAACTCATAGCGACCCTATAGGACAGAGCAGAACTGCCTCCATAGGGTTTGCAAAGCTGTAATCTTTATGGAGGGGCCTTGGTGGCATAGCGTTAAAAAAGCTCTGCTGCTAACCAAAAGGTTGGCAGTTCAAATCCACCACTCGCTTGTTGGAAACCCTAAGGGGAGTTCTACCCTGTCCTATATGGTCACTATGAGTCAGAATTACTCTAAGGCAGTGGGTCTGGGTCAATCTTTACGGAGGCAGACTGCCACATCTTTCTCCAGCAGAGTGGCTGGTGGGCTCCTACCACCATCCTTTTGGTTAGCAGACGAATGTTTAATCACTGTGCCACCAGGACTCCTTTTGGGAAAAACTAAAAAATTAAAACAAAAACACAAAAACGTTGCCTTTGAGTCGATTCCGACTCATAGTGACCCTGTAGCACAGAGCGGAACTGCCTCATAGGGTTTCCAAGGAGCAGCTGGTAGATTTCGAACTACAGACCTTTTTTGGTTAGCAGGCGAGCTCTTAACCATTGTGCCATCAGGGCTCCACGGACAGAACTGACAGACTGGAGAGCATTAATTTATCCTACAATAATCTATATTTAATGTGAGGATATCGTATCGCAAATATGAAATCAGATGTCCATCTGATTATCTTCTACCTGAAATGAAGATCCTAGAGAAAATCTTCAGTCTGTATGTGTCACTTCAGTCCATTGATGTCATCGTATTTTACACATGCAAAGCATCTCAGTAATTAATGCTGTTCAATAAGTGATTGAAACCAACTTGCTCTTTCTTCTGAAATCAAGAAATGGTTAGGTGTCAGGGCTCAAGATAGATGGAAATTGAGAAAAATAAATTCATCCTCCTTGCTAGTGAGTAAGCAGAGACCAGGTTCATATTCTGAGTGTGTTTTATTTATGGCAAGTGACTTCCTGTGGTTTTTTTTTTTTTTTTTTTTGCATTTTCAGACTGTAGTCTTTGAATGAGAATAATGTCTTATTGATACCTGTACTGAAAAGGACTTGAGGGCATTTGATTTTTTTTAAATGGACTTTTATGTCAGTAATGTTTTTTGATCCTTTCACATTCAAATTCTGGCTCTCCAGAAACTTGTGCTGGGGTTCAGTCTTGCTACAGCTAGAATTTAAATAGCTCTTGCTTTTTACATGGAATTCTGTCTTCTCTAGTGCCACAGAATGGCTCTTTTAGTCACTAATTAGCTAACAGAAACTGCATCTGTCATTTCCCTTTTCTCTTTAAAGCTATAAAAGGGCATGTCTGCACACATATTAAGGGACAGGGGAAAAAAACTAATTTAATGGTGAGCGACCTTGGGGTACTACATTTAACTGACAACCCTGTGTGCCAAAAACTTCACAGACATTGCTCCGTAACCCCCCTTTCCGTTGAGAAACACTTCCGTTTTTGGCTTGTTTAATCTCAGTGTGACTCCATCACAGACCAGACGCGCTGACTCTCTCTCCTTCTCGCCCGCCACAGGCCGTTTTTACTACCTGATCCACCCCACCAAGCTGACCTATGATGAAGCGGTGCAAGCTTGTCTCAATGATGGTGCTCAAATTGCGAAAGTGGGCCAGATATTCGCTGCCTGGAAACTCCTCGGCTATGACCGCTGCGATGCAGGCTGGTTGGCAGATGGCAGCGTCCGCTACCCCATCTCTAGGCCAAGAAGGCGCTGCAGTCCCACCGAGGCTGCTGTGCGCTTCGTGGGTTTCCCAGATAAAAAGCATAAGCTGTATGGTGTCTACTGCTTCAGAGCATACAACTGAGAGTGCCTCTAGAGCACGTCAGTTTTAGAGTCAGAGAAACATGTGAACGGTTTGTTTTTGTTTTGTTTTTTTCCCAGTATGAACTCATGCAAGTTACCAAAACTGTGATAACCCTTTTTTACTTACTGTAAAGAGTCATTTTCATAAAATCCAATTCATTAGTTTTTGTAAAGCTATCATTCAATATATATTATAAATTAATATAATTTTAAGGGAAGCGCTACATAAGGAGGGTTTAGAGCCAAACTGTTTAAGCTACATCATCCCAACAAAGTATTCTTTTGTGAATGGGGCATGCGATAGCTTGAGGATTGCTAGGGTCGTACAAGGAAAGTAAAGCTACTCAGAGCAGCAGCTTCCATAAGCACAAATTTTACACATTTGTACAATTTTGAAATGCACTACAATACACAAATTACAGCAACAGATTTGAAAAATAGGCTTCTTTACATAAAGTGAGATTGAGAGGTTGCACAAAACTCAGTTTCCCAAGGGAATAGCTTACACTTTTCTAAAAGTTAATATTTCAAGTCTCCGATAGATAGAATGTCTTACTCTTTAAAATCCTGCCTTTATGACCAAAAAAGATAAAATTTCATATGGACTCCAATGCATAGTAATAAGCACAGTTAAAACTCCTTAACAGTCCCGTTTATATGAAGTATGAAACTTAAATAAAGCAGATATTTAACCAATGAGAGAATCCTACCTTCTAATTAAAATGACATATGTCTGAGAAGAATTGTTTTATCTTTTGAGTAGCTTTACTGAGTTATATTTAAATCCTAAGGGCCGTTTGCTAAGCAGCATTTAGCATCTACTCAGGGCAGTTATATAGATAAACTGCTGGACAGAAAAATTGTAAAATTTAGCAGCTTGATTTTATGTTAGCTTATGAAATGTTATTGTCCTATAAAAATAACTTTAAACTATTTAATATTTCTTTGTTATTTACATTACTTAAAAAATTAAATCATAAAAGGAATGAATAATTATACACTTGCATAACCAAGAAATAAAGACCCAAATTTCAAAAGTCTAACTATTCCTACTTGTATACACATTAGAAAGCCCAACGGGTGCCTGTGTTTGGGGCAAAAAGTCCACGATGTGCTTCTAAACCTTTGTCCATTTAGAAAGTGTGCTCTCTGATGGTACTTTCCTTGCTGGTCATCATCTGGCTTAAATGGAATTCTGGAGCTGTCATCAAAGAGCTTACACTAAAATCTTCAGGGCTTTAAATGATAGGTTAAGTCCAGTTTCAGAGAAACAAAGTTCCACATTAGCAGCTCCAGTCTTAAATAAAAGTCTGTTTTCTTAAGGGTTTTTTTGTTTGTTTGTTTGTTTTTTTTTCACTGTTGAGACCCTACAGGGACCCATATTTGTATTCAAATTCCATTTTATGGTTTCCCATTGTTTCACAATGAGTCCTAATAAATGGGGTTTAGGATAATAATCCAAGTATGACATAGCTGGTATGCTTTCATGAATGTTTTTATGTAGATTTTCTCCCATGAACATGAGTAAATAAATCTGTTTCCTGAATTGATTGTGGTTGCATTTAAAGCTCTGTAATCATTCTAATAAATTTACTCTATAAATGTAGAGTTATATATGTGGAAGGTATAGGACAATTGGAAGTCCATGAAAACTATAGCTATGTTCATCTATTATCTAGACAAAATATTGTAAATAAAAGTAGATAATTTCTTTCATCAAAAGCATATCTGGAAATTTGCAGATGCTTTAATATTAAAATATGACAATGTATGCATGCACATTTTTAAATTAGGATACATATGCAAATTGTACAAAAAAATAAATCCAAAGAGATTGTGAAGTTTAACTCAAAACACTGTTGGTATGAACAGAACGCACACTTACAAACTAAAAAGCCTTGAATGGGCTAGGATCAGATGAAGATACTATTTAAAGAGGAGAATATCTCCAAAACAGCAACTCTAAAACCTCAATTATGGGGGTTAGCTCATTGAAGGGAGCCTGTATTTGAAGAATTATTACGTATGTTACAAGAATTTTATTAGAAATACAAGTGGGAACAAATTTCTATTGAAGTAGTTGTATAATTTTCAGTTATTGCTGCAGAACTCTACCTTTATAATGTTAAGCATCGTAGCTTTCTTAACTTTTCGATACTTACTAGTATAAGAATTGGTGCTGATCAAAATTTCTGGAATGACTGTTAGCTGATTAAAATCCATACTAATTGCATATCATTTTTTTCATTCTTGTAAAAAGAAAATCTTACCAGAATGAATACTGCTGGGCAGAGTTTTTACCTCTTATTTCACCCAAAGGATCAGAATCTCCATATCTTTTGGATTTCTACTTGAATGAGGGGTCTTTTTAATGCTCTCATTTTGCTTTTTCCACCAAATATCCATTTCCTGCTTCATCCTCCGGTGAGAATGTCTGAAAAAGAAAGTTTATCCTAGTCTAATTCCTAAACAGAAAGTCATTATGGCACTGGCTAATTCAGAAATGCTACTCAGACTTGGGTTCCAAGAGTACCAGAGGGATGAGATGAAAGGTTGGATTAGGAAATCTTGCTATGATCATTTTAACCATAATTAACATTTGCAGTCCATATACGGAACAAAGTATCTTTGCAAATCTCACTTAGATGCCTACATTTGAAAACCCAAACAAAAAGAAATAATTCACATAAAAAAACAGTATAGGAATGAAAACAAGTTAGTCACATTAACACTGGAAGCTATATTTTAATGACTGCTGCCATATTTTATCACAGTAATTTTTAGTCAAACATGGTATTTGTAAATTCAAACTTTCTCTCATAGAAAGGGGGCTGGTACCTGTTAAGGTTTTACTTTATGCAATAATATAGCCGCTTATTATTTTGGCAATTAGGATTAGACTCAATGGAGATTCCAACTTGGTTGCTGGCAACCATACTGAGTTTCTTGACTTCAGTGCTCCAAATAATATGGTGGTCTCCTGGAGTAACTGACCACTAAAGAAGGGAGGATTACAAAGGAATTACTTATCAATTTTCAGCATAGAACGCTTGGAGAAAGATCAATGAGTAGCTGACATTTTTGTTGAGAAGTTAACTGTCATAGCTCACTACGGCCAGAGTAGCAATAGTGTACAACAAAAGAAATGAAAAAATATAAAAGTCACTAAACCACCTGATTAAAAGAAAATCAGTATTTAAAGGCATTTAATACATACTGAGTACAAATCCGAGGAGAAAAAACAATCTGTATTAAAAAAAAAAAAGAAAATGTTTTCATTTTTCTGTAAGACAATGGACTGGTAAACATTAAAAGTCAATTTTATGTTACTGCAGTATCTTTTGATTCTTCTTAGTTGTAGAATCTTAGCTATTATTCCGTGTGTTAAAATCTGTAAATGCATTATCTCAAGAAATGACATTTAAACATCTTTGTTCTGATATACTTGAGTTTAAGTTGTAAACACAAAACAATTTTCATTCCCTAGTATATTTGTAAAATTAAAAAAAAAGAAGCATATATATGGTGTTGCTAAATCAGCAATAGTACTATCCCAAAATCTATTGGCATTATTCTCTTTTTATACAGTCAAAACATAGTTTATTTTGCTCACCAGGTTAGCAAACCCAGAAATCTGTGCAGTCATTGGTTAGGTTAATGTGTTTGAGATACCTTGTGATGTCAATTCTGAGTACTGTTCATAGTTAAGTCTTTTTCTCTAGCACTTTATCCTCAATTACAAGGAACATATTTTTCAATATTTCCATCCCTACCATGAAATTTCAACTTGCAAAATGGTTTCTGTATTTTCCTGGCATATAGAAATGGATTCTTAGGTGCAAGAGTCTATTCCTGGTGCAATGACTTGAATGGAAACACACCTAAATAAGTTTGCATCATTGACATTCAAAGCAGAAAGTATGCTTTAAAAAGTTTTTCCCATACTTGTTTGGAACACACTGAACAGCCTTGGAGAAGAAAAAAAGTCCAAATATGAAACTAAATCATCTTCTTTCAGTGCTTAAGTTCTCACACAGATGAAGGATATCATCTTCACTTTGCCAGCAATTTTCATGTATTGTTACAACCTGGTCACATACAAAACTCGCTTTATACTAATATCAAAATGTCTTGTGGAGTTTTATAATGCTTAAATAAAGATAAGTTAAAGAATTCAGATGTGGTGCCCTCAGTTCTCTACCAAGTGACAAAGCTTAATACTAAGACTATTCTTGGGCAGAATGGACCCCATCCACGGATGTCAGACATGTGGGAGAGAGTAAGTGTAAAAGCAAGAGGATTATTTGGAAGTCCTAAGTAGATATCAATGAACTAAGAAGAAACTGACACCAAAAGTAAGAAAATTATACTTTCTGTCCTTCCTTGATTCCTTAGGTCTTACAGTTATTATTAGCATTAGTGCAGTTTAAGAGGACTCTGCAGTCTTTGCTTCCCAGTAAGTGGTATTTCAGGAAGCCAGTAGCAGTTTATGTGTTCCAATCTTAGTGAGGAAACTCAATGCACACATTTTTGTTTCCACTAAAGGAAGTACATAAAGCTTAATCATTTTCTGTTTCTTTCAGGCCAAAAAGTTCTGTCACCTCCCTAGCCACTCATCAGGTGAAACAACTTGGGCCAGCCCAGGGGTGGTTCCATGCCTGTCATGAAATCAACCAATCTCCTTTCTCAGCTTATCTCTGTTACTCTCCTGTCCAGTGGGGTTATTCAGTGTCCTGTTACTCAAGTATGAAAACATGGCTCTTTCATTTAGTTGGCATCTGACTGCAGCCTGAGCTCTGTTTATTCACAACAGTACCCCTCAGGTGAGTCCTTGTGTAGCACAAAGAGTTGAGCACTCAACTACCAAACAAAAGGTTATTAGCTTGAACCCACCCAGGGGGGCCTGAGAAGAAAGGCCAGGTGAACTGCTTCCAAAAAGTTACAGCCTTGAAAACCCTATGGAGCACAGTTCAAGTCGCTGGCCACTGGTTGTTTTGGTATCTCCGAGGTGGAGAGAAATCTCAGATTCTCCCTTACCTAATAGTGAAGCTACTGACTTTATGAACAAATGTAACATTCTCAGATGGCAAGAGAGTTCTAAGAATCTTGTATCACCGTATCTAAGGGGCCCAATAGCCAGCTCTTCATCCAGTTGAAATATGTTTAAAAAGAAAATTTTTTTCTCTCTTTGATTTCTATCAATGAAAATTCTGCCTGCCAAGATTCATATATATATATGTAGATGGCAGAGAAAGATAAAAAGCAAGCAAGTTTGAGAGTTTAGATACTTTGAACAGCCCTTGTTTGAAGATCTTGAGAATCTTGCATGTGAATCTAAACACAGAGCTGCAGAACCACTCTTATTATTCTGATAAATAAACATATTCATATATAGTGATTGCTGCAGTCCCAGGGAAAAGATAAAGCCCTTTGTGGTTCTTCCTGTGCACAAGTTCTGCCAACTTGAACATCCTTTCTCCATGGGAAGACACTTGCTCCTATGATAAGAATGGCTGAGAAGCAATTTTCTTATCTTTAAGTCTGCTCTTCTAATAGAAAGAATGTTTTATAAAAGCCAACCTATCAGTTCATGAAAATTCAGTAATTTGTTAAAGCAGTCCTACTCAGCTTTGCATTCATATTGGAATCACTTGGAGAGCTTTAGAAAAACATTGAGACCTGGATTCCTCTCCCAGAGATTATGGTCAAGGGTGTCACCTGGGCATCAGGATTTTTCAAACCCTCCCCACCCCGCCCCTCGCCCAATGATGCTAGTGTGCAGCCAGAGTTGAGAACCATTGTTCTTAACAAAAAAGGTACTATGGCTGCTCTTGGAGATGTAGGAAAACAGGCGGGGTGTGTATTGAGTCGTTACAATGATTATTACTTGTGATTTTCTTTGCAAATGCAGTATATTAGATAGCAAATTTGAATGCACGCCCAAGCCTGGAAGTTTATAATGATCACCATTTATTGACAGTCCATTATATGTCGTGCTCTGCACAGGCAAGTTATTCCTTCTGCAGTATGGCAATGGGCGACTTAAAACCTAAACAGTTCTTGCCCAACAGTTACAATTTGAGCCATCATTAGTTGAACCCATATTTCCAGCAAAAATACTGGAAAATACAGATAAGCACCAAAAGAGAATGAAAATGACTCACAATTCCAATACCAGGGGAAAAACACTTAAATTTTGCTTGATAATATTATATTTTCCATTATTATGTATATAAATACTTGCTAAATTAATTATCAAAATAATAAATTAATTCTAGAAAATATAAAATACATAAACTATGTTATTAAGAAAACTATAAATTACGTCCCTAATTGGCCTGTGGATATGGTATATAGCATTTGAGTCTGCTACAACTCACCCTGATGCAAGTGAGAGATATGAACACTAAAATTCAACATAAATCAGCTTGAAATGCCAGGCTTTTCCACTAGGAGGTTTAGCCTAAGAACTTTTTCAGCCACCAGCCAGGTTCCTTAATTCTGTAGCTCCACAAGAAAGCACAGTGGCACAGATCAAGGGCCTGGCATAGGCACCAGTGTACCAAGACGTGCCTCTTCCTTCCCTGGCTTTAGACTACGTGAAGAAAAGGCAGGTAGCTATGGACCATGGAGGCTTCCTACCAGAACACTTCCCATGCAAAATAAAGTTCTGTTTTGTATCCTCTCCACCGGGAAGGATAATTTTAAATTCTAAAGGAAAGGATGATAAGCAGTTAATTAGCCGACTGGATTAAGAAGGATAAACATTAATTTAAAAGGTGCACTAATAATACGGCAACAGTTGTTGTTGTTAGTTACTGTCGAGTTGATTCCAACTCATGGCAATCCCAGGTATGCAGAGTGGAACTGCTCCAGAGTTTTTAAGATTGTGACTTTTTGGAAGCAGATCATTAGGCTTGTCTTTCGAGGCATCTCTGGGTGGGTTCAAACCACCAACCTTTCAGCTAGTAGTCAAGCACTTAACCATTTGTGCTACCCAGAGAGAGTCAGTGGGCACCAAAAGGCTATAGAAAACTGTTGACATATGATGAACTCACTCAGAACTTGCTCCATATTACAGGGTCCAACCTAAAAAAACCACTGTCATCAAGTCAATTCCAACTCATAGCAACCCTATAGGACAGAGTAGAACAGACCCACAGGGTTTCCAAGATGCGGCTGGTGGATTCGAATTGCCAACCTTTTGGTTAGCAGCTGAGCTCTCAAGCACTTCGCCACCAGGGCTCTATTACAAGGTCAGTGGAGGAAAATTCAGGCCTCAGGGTTTGGAAGGTTTGGTGGGAGAGGACTATTGAGATGTACTTTGGAAATTTTGAAATACTTGATCCAATATACAGCACCATCCCCCAAATTAACAGTAACTACCGATTATTGCCTAATGCTTTAGGAAGTCTACAGTGGAAAGCTATTTCTGTGACAACGGGCTACTGAAATGCCCTCATCTTATTGGCTAAAGTATTACATACTTCACAAATCATTTTTGACATGTAATATAAATAAACTCCCTCCAATCTTCTTCGGAATAATGCAGGGATAAATGAAACACCAAGAATAGAATTAAAGCTTGTTCTTATTTGTGATGTAAATATTTAATAGCTCTTCACATACAGAAGTCTTAGAGAAACTCCAAAAATTTATAAGCATGCAGTGTTGATCTGAGACTATGAAAGTTATTCCCTTCTACACAGAAAATAAAAAAACAGCAATTAAAAAATGGGTGGTATCTTTACGATCTCAACTATGTGTCATCAATTAACTAATATGCATAGTAAAACCTGGAAGGAAAAGTGCACCAATATGTTTGTGGAGGTCTTCCTTTTTCCTTTATGCTTTCAAAGTTTCCACAGCAAAGATGTGTTATACAAATATTATTTAACAAATTATTGCCCCACGATATTAGCATATTCTCAAGGGAGCCTAACAATTTCCAAATAATTTAGGAAAAAAATTCCAGATTTGATTCTATAAACCCCTCCCCACTACATCTTTCTCCATTCCAGGTAAGTCACTGTAATGCCACCTTGAATATTCATTGGTGAGGGCTGGAATCACCTCCTGGGTTTCTCAAAAGGTATCAAAGGCATTGTGGATAAAATAATTTTTTATTGTGCACGACTATCTCATCTTGCAGGGCACATAATATCCCTCACTCCTCCTGCCACTCATTGCCAGTTGTCACACCCTTCCATCACTGTAATAACCCCAAACACACCACACACGTTTTCTTACATCCTCAAGAGAGGAATGAGCACTGTTTTTAAGAATGACTGCTTGGATTTTTCATTACAGAGTAGGGCAGAGGTCAGAGTAGAA